CAGCGCCCGCCGCCCCGCGCCCGGCCGGCCCGCCGTCTTGGCCGCCTCGGGCCCAGCGCCCGGGGAAGCGCCCTCGGAGCTCGGGCGCCGCAGGCTGCGGGCCGCGGCGGGACGCAGGGTGCGCGGGCGGGAGGCAGGGGCTGCGGCCGGGCCCAGGCGCCGCCGCTACTGCCGCCGCTACTGTCGCCGCTGCGTCTCCTCGGCGCCCGCCGCGTCCCCGCGCGCCCTCCCGCGGCACCCCGCGCTCCCCGGCCGACCTTCCCGGGCGCGAGCCGCCAGAGGCGAGCCCCGCCTCCTCGCACCTCCGGCCCGCCGGCCAATGGGGAGCCGAGCCGGGGCGGGGCCGGCGCCGGGCTCGCCCCACCTCCCTCAACGGGGCGGGGCGAGGAGAGCGGCAGCGGCGGCGGGAAGGGGGAGGGTGGCCTTTGGCTTCCTCGCCTGCAGGGACGTGCGGCCTGGGACGGACACCCGCAGGCCCCGCGCTGCCCCACAGGGGGAAGGGAGGAACCGAGTGGGTGTCGGGTGGGGTGGGGGGAGGGGACGCAGCCGATTCTTCTTGCCGCCGAATACGGCTCACGGAGCGTGAACGCCGCGCTCACCGTACCCTTCCGCAGTCGGCGCCCGGCGCCGGGGAGCTGTCCGCCCCGGTGGTTCTGAACCAGGCGCTGCGGAAACTCCAGGTAGGCGGCGGGCCCGAGGGTCACAATTCCCGCGGCTGTTGCTGCTGCTGCGGCTTCCGTGGTCCACAGCGAGCTGCGCCGCGAGCTCTTATAAGCACAAGGGCTGTCTGGCTTCCGGTAATCTTGCTCTAATAAGGAGCCGGCCTCGCTGGTCCATTTCTGGGGTCAGATGTTAACTCAGTCTCGCTTCAGTACCCCTGTAATTTGAGGGAGGGCAGTATCTGGTTTTAGTCATTCCTCTCGTCTTTGACGTTTGACATCTTTTAAACTCAAAATATTCATTACCTCCGAAATATTGATTACTCTAACACCAGTATTGCAACATCTTCACTCATACATTTGACGCACTCGTCTATTAAATTATAGCACAATCACCCAGGCTTCAGCGCTCTGATAAACAATAGAACAGAAAGATTTCACCCACCCCTCTGCCTTGGCCAGGAGTGTGTGGCACTCATTCTGTTGATGGCGATACATATGATCAGTCTGTTTCTTGCTCCTCTCTCCCTCCCACAATAGTGCAATAAGTCACAATGATGGTAATTGGGCCATAAAGTCACTTGCACTCTGAAATAAAATAAATCCACAGAGATGTGAAGGGCTTACAAATCCTACTGGGTATTAACTAAATAATGATTACACGAAAGGGAAAGGCATGTTGCTATTTCTAAGCATGCATAAAGGATGGAGATGTTAGGACCACCAACTAAGGTCTAACAGCAGGCGGGCAGCTTCCGTTCTTGCCCTCCCCTCTCGAGCCCCTGTTTCCTCCTCCCAAACCAGAGCCTCTGTACCGGCAAGAATTCGTGATAATCACTGAAAGACAATATAAAAAAAAAGGAAGGGGTTCACATGACATTGCTTTTTATATGGATTGGCTGATAATATGTGAAATTGTTTGCAAAGCATTCCAACTCCCTTGGAAGAATTATGCCACAGAAAAGAACTGGTTTTCAACATATCTATATACAGTGCTAACCAGCGAAAAATTTTGAAGAAGAGTACATGCAGATAATCAGACTTGAAAAGGTCAATGACACACAGATTGAAGATGCAAAATAAGACTCCATTGCTCAAGTTCAAATTCTGCAATTAGGAATTCTGTAATACTCCTGTAAAATGTAATGATATCTACTAAAGAAAATTGAATGGGATCTAGAGAGTGAAATCTATAGGCAAGAATTCTGTCTCTTCTCCAGGTAGCCAATGAAAAAGTCAGCAGCTAAACTGAGTGTGTATTTTAAAAAACAAAGGCTTGCTTTGTTACCCATAGAAGGCACAAAGTAGAGCAGTAACAGTTACAAGGATGGACATAGTCTTCCATTATCCCAAATTTGCATTTGTATGGTGCTAATCCCAGAGAAACCTAGAGCCTTTGTGCTTATGAGCTCCCAGTGCTTGTAGCTCAACAGAATGCAACATTGGGGAGAGGATTATATGGTCACAAAAGAAACAGACTGAGAAATCAAATTGTTATCCAGACCCTTGCCAAACAAAAATTAGATGGCTATGTCAGTTTAGAATCAAGTGTTTAGCAACCAAGTGTTAGTTTGTTTAAGCAAGTGTTTCCAACCAAGAGCAGTAAAAATACTTAAGCCTTTTAAAAACAGGTGGCTGATTCTCCTTGTGGAAAGAGGGGAGGAAAGGGAAGAAAACAATTGGAAAACAAAAAACCAAAAAATTTTCCCATCTGCTTGGCAACCTCATACTTGATGCTACCATTGTGGTTCTACATCATTAACTCTTATAAGTAATGTTATCTGTGAGGATAATTCTAGAACCAGTATTATACTGAGATCTTTTAACTTTGAGTCATTTAAATACATCTTCCAAATAATATAACTTTGTAATATAATTAAATAATTTTAGATTAATATTGAGCTTTTGGTTCATAGTCTGCACAAAAAGCTCCAGGGTAGTAAGAGCAATCCATTTCTGTAGTAGATTCCTTAGGTTTTGTTAAGCCAGAGGTTCATGCTTTTATGAAACTGTGGCTAATAGCCATATTTCACTGAGTCTTGGCCTCCTTTCCTGGTATGTTTTAATAAGAAAGAAAAAATGCTACCATTCAAACTATGATACAATGTTTTCTTTTCATTAATATTTTAATTTAAATGTATTGAAAAAGTTCTTTGGTAAGTATTTAGACGGATTTTTTTTAAGATTTTATTTATTTATTTGACAGAGAGAGAGACAGAGAAAGAGGGAACACAAGCAGGGGGAGTGGGAAAGGGAGAAGCAGGTTCCCTGCCGAACAGGGAGCCAGATGAATCCCAGGACCCTGGGATCATGACCGGAGTGGAAGGCAGACACTCAACGACTGAGCCACCCAGGCGCCCCATATTTAGACAGATTTTTATCATGTATCGCCTTAATGCATACATAAAAATAAGTAAAATAGCTGGTTAATGTTTTTCCAGAACTTCACGTTCGGAATCTCATTATTCTTATTTACTTTCTAACTGAGAGTTTTCAGTGCCCAGATTTTTCCCACAATATGTTCCTCTGAGCCACCCAGAGCTTCTGTCATGCTACACTTAAAAAATTTTTATTATTGACATAGCTGACATTCAGTGTTAAATTAGTTTCAGGTGTACAACATAGTGATTTGACAATTCTATACATTACTCAGTGCTTACCACCGTAAGTGTATCATTGCCTGTCACCATACAAACTTATTACAATATTATTGACTATATTCCCAGTGCTGTGCTTTTCATCTCCAGATGAGAACAGGAAATTATTTTATTTATTTTATAACAGGAAATTTGTACCTCTTAATCCCCTTCACCTATTTCACCCATCCCCCATCCACCTTCCCTCCCACAACAACCAGTTTGTTCTTTGTTTTTTAAGTCTGTTTCTGCTTTTTTCTTTGTTCACTTGTTTCATTTTTTAGATTCCATATAGAAGTGAAATCATATGGTATTTGCCTTTCTTGGTCTGACTTATTTCACTTAGCATAATATCTTCTAGATCCACCCATGTTGTCACAAATGGCAAGATCTCATTCTTTTTTATAGCTGGGTAATATTCCATTACATATATATATGTACCATATCTTTATCCATTCATCCACTGATGGGCACTTGGATTGCTACCATATCTTGGTTATTGTAAATAATGCTGCAATAAACCTAGGAGTGCATATATCTTTTTGAATCAAGAGTTTTTATTTCTTTTGGGTAAATACCAAATAGTAGAATTATTGAAGCATATGGTTGTTCTATTTTTAATTTTTTGAGGAACCTCCATATTGTTTTCCACAGTGGTTGCATTCCTACCAACAGGGCACAGGGGTTCCTTTTTCTCCACATCCTGGCCAACACTTGTTCTTTCTTGTCTTTTCAATACTAGCCATTCTGACAGGTATAAGGTTATAGATGTCCCTGTGGTTCTGATTTTATTTTCCTGATGACTAGTGATATTGAGCATCTTCTCACGTGTCTGTTGGACCTCTGTATGTATTTTCTGGAAAAATGTCTATTTAGGTCCTCTGCCCATTTTTCAATTGAATTATATGTTGGGTTTTTTTTGGGGGGGTTGGTGTTCTTTACATATTTTGGCTATTAATCCTTTATTAGATTTATCATTCACAACTATCTTCTCCCATTCCGTATGTTCCCTTTTGGTTTTGTTGTTGGTTTCCTTTACTGTGCAAAAGCTTTTTATTTTGATGTAGTCCTAATAGTTTATTTTTGCTTTTGTTTCTTTTGGCTGAGCAGACATATCCACGATTATGTTGCTAAAGCCAACCTCCAAGAGATTACTGCCTATTCTCTTTCAGGAGTTTTATGGTTTCACATCTCATATTTATTTATTTTTTTTAAGTAAGCTCTACAACCAATGTGGGACTTGAACTCACCACCTCAAGATCAAGAGTCT